CGATCAAGTTATTCTATTCCCAGAACCTGTAGTCCACTCTTGGAAGTGGAGAATCCACGAAGCTCGTCTAATTCAAGGAGAAACGGTCTCTGCCTAGTACGTGGAATTATTACGCGGCAGGTCACGAGTTTGTCAGATGCCAAAGATGTTACCGGCACCTCATGGACCAAGTGTAACTCAGAGAGTCTACAAGTGTTGCGTACAAAGCGTATTCGCTGTTAGGCATGTCATATGTCCAGTTGGATGGGGTCCCGAATGAGCACTGATAAAGCCAAACAGACTATCCAACCGGGACAAGGGGAGAAGTGGGAGAGTTATGAGTATCCACAGCTGTGTGGGAACACCCCAAAAGGAGTACCATGTGCAAGTATCCAATAGGAAGCCAGAAATAGACATCAATGCGATCAACTAGGGTGTTGCAGTGAGTACCATAGGCATATACGCGAAAGATATAAAAATATTAATTTCACACCCTGCTGAGGCCAGACTGTGTGCCAAACAGATCATGGTACAATAATCTTTATAAAAAAGAAAAAGGCTCCATGCCTTGCATGTGGGCTGAATACCACCAGGGTGCCCAGACCAAGGCAGGTGAATTTCTTGAGGAATCCTCAACCGGAGCCTTCGGCTAATCAAAGCCTGACCTCCAAGGCAGCAGCGCGGTGTGGGAAAACCACAATCCATTGGAAGTCAGTGTTCAGTGTTCATCGGACGGCGTCAGACGTCCAAGGTGCCCAATACACCTTGATGCCCAATCGAGCGGGTGATCATTGCCACAACCGAAAAGGTGTTTGTGGTTCGTACGCCTCCTCATGCTTGGTTTGGAATCAGATTTTCTAGCTTACTCTCCTAGGTAAACTACCAGTGACCCATCAATCCGGTTATCGGCTTTTCCTCCTCTCACTTTGGTGGGAAAACACCCCCGCCACGAGAAGACAGTGAGTAGAGCTTCCTCAGCAGTGTCTATTCGAGACGCTTGGTCGTATGGGAGCAGTTCGCGAGATGCAAGGGAAGGATGATCAGCCACAACCCTAGATATCCACCCCCGACCATATTGAGGCTTTTGGTAAAAATTCCAAAAACTGACCACTGCGTTATTGTGATTGATGAAGTGTGGCTATCACATTTTGAACCGATTTAGTTATCTGTAAACTATCAGGACCGTTTTGGAGATACCATGATCCAGCCATTCGTGTAGGCTGATAAAAAGGAATGTTTAGGATAATTGATAACTTGTGAGTGAATCTGTGTTAGTGAACCCAACGTGGACGACGACGACGATGGTCATGAATATGTACATCTGGATAATATGTGAATTCTGTACAACGACTGGGTCCATTCAAACATACATACCCAGCATCTACCGGACAATGAAGTGTACAGGATTGAAGAAAGTACAAGGTGAATGCGAAAGCGGTGATCATTGTTCAGTCATACAGGTCCTTATCGGCAACGTGAATTCATCGATCGAACTCAGAGGTAGGATTAGAACCGAGAATTTCACAAGCAGAGCGCGCATTTTGCCAAGCTGAAAACCAAAAGGAGATGATAAGAGTGGCTTATTATGTCCATACAAGATAATGTAGCAAAACCTGTCTTTGTAAATGATAGGAGATCAGGTGATCAAAGTCAGATGAATAGCAACCTGAAGGTCCTGAGTTCGAACCCCGCTACCATTTTCCCCATTTCTGTAATCTCATAGAGTCTATGTATGGCTGTCGGCAATCTTAGTGAGAATTTATTGCACATTTGCATGATCCACAGGTAAAAATGGAAATAAAGCCATTTTTCAAGTCCTTTTCGTCTGCATTCAGTGGTTGTGACTCAATGCAAACAATCCAAACTGGACCACGTTTTGTAGAAAAGATTAGTGTAAAATTTGGAACGGATTGTTGTTGCTGAAATTTTCACCCATGTCTGGCTCATGCTGTTGCTGGTGGCACTGTATACCATAGGGAAAGGGTATCAACCTTTGCATAGGACTTACAACTCCTATACATCGCTCGGATAAGAAATCTATTGCTAGCAACAAAACGGAAATGTGTTCGACACATTTAACAAACCCTTGAGAGCGAGATGAAACGCATCACGACATTAATCTCTCTCTCTCTTTCTGTGCAAGTGCACCTACGAATAGGTCATGTTTTAGTTGAAACATTTCATTGTGAGCGTTCGGGAAGTTGACAGCAAAACCCTGCCCCGCCGCAGACCATGCTCACTATTGAACTAGGCAAAAACGAAAACTTCCAAGAGTCTTACAAGTGTTATAAACCCATTAGACTGTACCTGGACGAGAATGGTTATGCATAATTGTCAGGGTACCAGTAAATCGGTATTCATACAACAAAATGTCTCATTCAGAAAGAGACTTCCGAATTCTCACACGCACACAGGATAGTTGATGGAACAGTCCAACAGCAGATGCTCATCGTTGTAGTTGCCCTACTGAACACAGCAATTTGCTGCAACAGATCTTATTGATTTTTAACCGTTGAAACAATCCACCAATCGCATCTTTTTGTGAACTACTCACCAATGTGAGTTGTACCTCACGACTTTACTACTACTACTACTACTACTACTACTACTACTACTACTTTACATATGTAACCATAAATATAACTCACTCCAGTGAGAAAAAAAACAAGAGACACCAGCAAATGTAGGTGAAAGTTTGATCATACCAATTCAAGTTTGGAGTCAGCTGCGTGTAATGCTGACCAGTTTCATGGCAACAATTAAAGGTTACGTCTGATCCGAATATAGTTGATTTGCCAATAGGATTATTGAGCTCTTAACGTGTGCTCACTGTGCGAACCGGATACTGACTATTTTGATCATTCGTATTCTAATCGATCACGTTGATCTTCAATCGATTTGAATCCTCGTTCGATAAAAACGACTTAGATGGATAATGATTCCCTCCCCCCCTCAGGAACTTCTTTTGGAATCACCTCAATTTGGCTTAGGAGAAACTCAATTCAGTTTTCCAATCAATCATTAAAGTGGATTAGACAAGTTTAGAGCTTGTCATCAATACAACAGTGAAATGCAAACCATCAGAGAGGATGTACTGCTTGGTTCCTCTATGAGATTCTCAGTATTGTCGGGCGTCGGTGTCTTGTTTTTTGGATGATTATCCATCACTTGCAACTCATGAATTGTTCTTATATGACCAAGTGTCTCAGATAGCTTTTGTTGAGGAAGCCCTACTCACTAAATTCTCATGGCACAGGTGTTTCCCCATCAAAGTGAGAGGATGAAAATCCCACATTCGGGGCTAAAATCCGATCGGTAAACCACTGGTAGATCACCTAGGACAGCTAGCTAAAACCTCTGATTCTAAACAAACTAAGGATAGGTGCAAAAACCACATTCACCCAAACCTCGCTTGTGACAGTGGTAACCGGTTCGATCGGGTATCGAGATTTGTTGGGCACCTTGGACGCTTGACCTTGTCCGAAGGGCAACTGATCTGATCAACTGGACCGAAACCCAGTGCCCCGCTGCTTTGTGTGTTAGTCAAAGGCTCCGGTGGTGAATTTCTCAGGAAAATTCACCTGCATTGGCGTGAGCAACCTGACAGTTTTCCACCAACAAAGAAATCGTCGGATTGTCTCTTTTTATAAAGATTATTATTCTACCATAATTTGTTTGGCACATAGTCTGAATTCAGACCTGCGTGTGGAATGCAAATACAGCACACTGTTTGACTCTAAAATTTCTGTTGATGGCACTTCTGTTAAGTTCGAGTAACCTGTCATGCAAAACCGTAACTGAAAATCCAAGAGGCACTTCATTCCTATTGTTGTGAGTTACTTCTCCCGATTTGTGATTAGTATGGTTGGATTGCGTAAATAGATGTGATTAGCGGTTTCTCACAACGACGTGTTCAAAATTGTAACTAACTACGGAAAATGCCTAGTTACCGTCGGATTGTTCCATAAATTATCCTACGTGCTTGTGGGAATTATGATGACCCGTTCCAAATGAGACATTTTGTTGTGTATGTCAGTTTATCGATAACCGCACCCTTTTTGATGGTTAGCAACTCTCCTCGACCGTTTTGTGGATATTTAGTAGTAGTGGTAGTGGACTTGAGTGATAATCGATAATGTTACAGGTTTGACTGACAAAAGACCATAAGGGCGGATTTCCATGGAACTTCAGTTACCGGTGAGCTGCAGCAATGAAC